AGCCGAACTTGAGATTGGAACATACGAGATACATCTTCAAGTTGAGTAATTCATATTTTCAGAATTTTTTCGTGCCATTTTACAATTAATCGAATGTCAAATTGAAGCACTAATTATGCAAAATATGAATTACTCAAAAATGAATAAAATGCAAACACCAACTGGGAGGAATTTATCTCTAGTTACATATGATAAACACCAGCTAAGATGAATTAATCTCCACTTACGTATGATAAAAGTTAAGACGTTAACTTGATCACCAGTTGGGATGAATTAATCTCCACTTATGTGGTTTGACGCCATCAGAGGAGGACATGAAGGTGTGGTGGTTTCACAGCAGTGGAAATTCAGAAAAAAGCTCGACAGTTTTCGATGTTGGCAAAAATGTTTGGATACAGTAGTGACTTTTGTTCTTCACCCACGGAGGTGGAAGTTTAGAACAGTGCTCGACAGTTTTCGATGTTGGCAAAAACGTTTGGGGTATAGTTGTGACTTTTGTGCTTCACCGATTTTGGCGTTGACCGGAGGCTGATATGAGTCCATTGGTGTTGTCTCGTCGTTGTGAAGGTAGGAAATTGGAGATAGTAATGGAGAGGTTTGGACAGTTTCCAATTTGGGAGAAATGAATGAGTTCTGAATTCCTCTAGTGTCATTTTCATTTTATCGTCTAAGCCCTGTAAAACACCTGTGAAGCCCCTCACTGTACACCAAGGCCGATAGTTGATTTTACAATCCCGCTTGGTGTACAGGGGATGTTTCACAGGGGCTTTACAGGCCTTCGTGGCACTTGAAAAAGGCAGAAAGGAAGGAAGGAAATCGTGATCAGCTAAACCTAGACTCATTGTAGGGTTTATTCTTATTTCTCTCCCGACAACCGCAAATTGAAATCTTCTCTCCCGACAACCCCAAATTCAAGAACAAATTAAGCAAATTGAAATCTTCTTGGAAAACACTCTCCAAATCTATCTCTCCCTTGCACTTAGCAATGGCGGCGAAACTTCGGTGCACTCTCTTCCACCCCCGACAGATCTCCGGTGCAGTTGCTTGCGAAACCCTAGCTCGCGATCGAAGTCATCGCAAAATCTCCTCATTGTCGGCAACCTCTCCAAATCTATCTCTCCCCTGCACTTAGCAACGACGGCAAAAATCCGGTGCACTCTCTTCCACCCCTGCCAAAACTCCGGTGCAGTCGCTTGCAAAACCCAGCTCACGATCTCGCATCAAAATCTCCTCATTGTCGGCTGCCAGCGAAATCAGCTAGTCATTTTAGGTTATGTAAGTCATTTTATTTTTTAAGAAATTTAGGATGATTATTTTACTGCTGAAGAGTTGTTGGTTAATAAGTTTTTAGTTGGTTGACTATCCTGCCTGAGATACATGCTGATAGTTGGGACTCTTCCTTAGGTGGTTAAGATTTATGCACTATCTTGCTTGAGCTTCATATTTATGATTTATTGAACATGGTTAAGATCTGCTTGAGAGATTCTTAATTAGGTTCGAGTGAAGTAGTATTAAGGAATTGAAACAATTGATTGCATTTGGGTAAATGAAACTCTGTTTCCATCCTGCTAATATCCCAACTGTTGTTTTATGTTAGTGGAGATTAATCCATCCCCGTTGATGAGGCTAATTTTCATGTTAATTTGATTTGTTATGTATAAATTGGCGATTGCTGATTTCGAATTCTTGTAATAATTTGGGCAGAAGCTTAATTGCAATTGATGATTTCGGTATTCTTGCAATATTGGAGAAGCTCATTTGCAATTGATTTATTTCACATGCTGCATATTTTGTTGAACACTTGGCATGGTTTGTGAATTAATGATTTGTGAAATTGATTTATGTGCTTGTTTCCCATCTAAGGATATGAAAGGAAGGAATGCTGGAATTTGTCACAGTTGTAGAAGCAATGAGCATTTTTTTATTGAATGCAATAGAAAACGTCGTTGCCCATGGTGTGCACATGGATTTCAGAAATGTTTTGAGGTGGAAAGACAAACGCCTAACAAAGGGCGATTATTCAATACATGCAGTAGTAACTGTGGATTTTTTGAATGGGTCGAACAAGGAGAGTCAAGTGGAGAATCAACTACTGCTAATGTAGCACTCAATGCTGTGGCAACTGAGGAAGTCAAAGATTTGTCAAGTATGTTCAACACTCTTGCTCGAATATCCGATGAACGAGACTTGGAGATTAACTTGAACATTACATTTCGCAAGGGAAAAGGAAGTTCGGAAGCCAACGGGAAAGCAAAGGAGGCATCTTGAGTAGTTGTATTGCCTTGAACGTGTTAGTCGATTTATGTTTGTACTAGAACATATGAATGACATAAGTAGTATTAATTTTCCATCGAAAAATGGGTGTAATGCAATTTAGGTTTATGTTTCTACTGCAGAAGATGATTTAAACTGACTTCTGGTTGGTATAGTTTCTGATTTAAATTTCGAGTTCATGGCAGTTTATTGTTCATTGAATTAAGCTTGGAGAGTAAATTTTCATGGCAGTTCATTGTTCATGCAATTTAGGTGTAATACACACGAAGCTAAATTTTCCATTACGTCATTTCATACATTAAATTGACGTCTAATATTTCGATATCCTTTCAAGTGAAGCATCTTAACTAAACCTAGATTAAGTGAAAGAATTAAGCTTGGAGATTCCAAGAAAACATGGTTATGCAAACTAAAAATGATTGTACAACATGCTTTGATATTCATTGTCACGAATTGCGATTTCCCTTAATTTTCGCCGCCATCTTATTTCGATCCCCTCTTCGATTTAACTTCAATTTTAATTATTACATCGCATAATCGCATAATTGTAGGGACAAACGGATGTTTTCAAATGACAAACACACTAATATTATATAACATAAACTTAAGGTCTACAACCAAAAAGCTTTGTAAGAAAAGCATACAAAAACCAAAAAGCTTCCTATGTAAACGTAGAGAATGATGAAATCGTCTGCTTCCAACCATAAGAGAGTTGTTCCTTCTTCAAGTACTGCCACACCTGACTTCTTGCGGCATCAACTGGTCCTATCAAGCATGCTGCTTTCTCCCATGCTGCTTCTGTGTCGGGTTTCCAGCCTTTTGTTCGGTGTAAAAATGCTCAAGCATCCGATCTCTGTACTGAAAGGAGTGATAGGGAGAAATAAGAAAGCAATTTGATAGAGTCAAATAAATGAAGACAAAGTCCAACTATGACAATGACCTGAAAAAGAAGTACTCTTACAACCATTTGAAGGCATAAAATTTTTGATTTCATGTCTGCATTCTGCTGAATAGTTGGTGCCCAACCCCTACGCATACATAAGACACGTCTAAAAATTTTAAAACTGCAGACATGAAATCAAAATGTCAGCTAAAAGGCCCGAAGCAGGTAATGAGACACATTCAAGTAATACTTGTTGCAAATATCCTCAACTAGGATAGAATACTTACCATTGCTTTTATATGTCTTGTAATTCGTAACCCAAAAAAAAAAAAGGATCAGACAAGTCATACTAGGACGAAGGCGAAGCACTTCATCTTTTATGCATTTACATATTAGAGGAAAATGTCTCTCAATTACAACGAGAAACTACTTTAAACATGGTACATAATACGGTTCCACCCCCCCTAAGTGCCAAAACTTTTGATAGGCTTCAAAGAATCAGTTCACCCTATACATCAGATGATTCAACTGTGACAAAATTGAAGAGACTTTTCTGCTTTAGACCTCACAAAAGATCATTTTGACAAGATGACTCCTACGATTAGCTCCAAAATGTAGTCCAATTGATCATGTTGTGCACAAGTTGCCTTCAGGAGTTTCAAAGACAAATTTAATCACACCGTATAATATTTACCGTAGGAACCATAATTCAGTACTCATAGAAATCATGAACACCATCATTTAAGACAAAAAAATGGACAGTGTCCAATAACAGCCTTGGAATATTAACACTAAAGAAGGCTGCAATCCAGTGCATCTGTCTATCTATTATTGGTCTTTTTGACAACTATATGTATGAATTTATACAATATAACCAACTGTACAAATCAGTCAATCATATTAAAAATCCAATCCAAGAGAACCCTAAGTAATAAATGAAATAAATGCACAAAGAAGTCTTAAACCATGCGAGAGAAGAGTTAGCTAACGAAAGAAAGCCGTCCAGTTGCGGGAAATAGAAAATGCGGGAAATAACGAATTTTCCCTTTATAGAAAATTTTCGAAACTTACAGCCTACCATGGTCACATATGAACTGCAGTCCAGCAATTTAAAAATGTGGGTCACCTAGATGCGGTAAATGCGGATACGAACATGGAAACAAAAGACCTGTCATAATTTGGACAATGTTGAAATTGTAAACGATAACGAACAAATTTAACTTAATGCAATGATGATTCAAAAATTGGATTCACCTTCCGCATGTAATTCAACATTCGTTGATGCTGGAGGGATCAAATCCGATGGTGGCAAGTGTGGTGGACATACTTGACTTTCAGCGTCGCCCTACATCATAGACCAACGTCAATTTTGGATACAACCGAAGAATCACAACAAAGTTCAAGTACTAACCAATAAGAGTTGTGAATATGAAAACGGTGTCTGCGTGGAACATTGTAGTTCAGACGCCATGAAATCAGGAACAACCTCCTGTACATTACTATGTCTTGCTCTTGGTCTCTTTCTTTTGCATGATGTTCAAGCTGCCTGCATTTACACTCGAACAAGTACAATATTGAGAACGTGGAATTGGTATGCGTAATAAAAGAGGTATATAACAAAGTAGATTACCGTGGATTTCTTTGACGTAGACTCCAAGGGACTTTTTCTCCTCAGTCTCCGTGGTGCGCCTTTTCGCTTTGTCAATTTTGGATCCCGTATGCTCTCACTACCGGTATTTTGCGAATCATTACATTGCGAGGCTAAATGAAGAGTATGTTGTGAAACGATACTATTTCTTGGACACGGCTTTCTCAACTGAAGCTCCGTAGCTTGAGATTTTATCTAGTCCATTATAGCCCGGGTTCGGACTTCATCATCTGCAGCGAGATCGGCTACTTGCGAAAAAGCCTTACACATCTCGTCATATCTTAACTGTCCGGGAGTACTGACCAAACCATCGTAGTTTACAGCAATCATCGCGTGTGCTCTACTGATATCTCTCCTCCATCTCCGCAGTGTGTACTTCTCCGGTAATCGTGTGACGTCGTTTCGAATCAATACCGCAATTGCATGTCTGCAAATAATCCCCCTGAACTCGAACAAGTGACAACTGCAAATTACTTCACAACTCTCCAAATGGAAACAGACCAAAAACATTTTTTTTTCTTTCATTGTCAATGGCACATCACATCCTCGCGCACCTCATATGTTGTCCTCGAAAATCCCTCAGTAGCAGATATGATGTCACAATGAACCTTTCCCTTGAACTCATCCTGTACTTCTCTAAACTTCGAGATGGTATAAACTGACTGGAAATGCTTTTCAATTTCATAATTTGTTGCACAGAGCAGCATTTGTGAGTATGACCTGAAATCAGCTTGGAACTCCTTTTCTACCTTACTCCTCAGTGCTCTTTCGTATTGCTCTACAAATTGCTTCAACGACGTCTTCGAGTGGACATACCTATCAAAGAACGCGTTCATACTCTCACTCCGTTGGGTTGTTGACATGCCTGTCCAGAATGTGGTTTTTAAAAAATAAGGAACCCAACGACCTCTATTGTCATACAATCCTGACAACCAACTATTCTCACACAACTCATATGTATCAATCATTTGTTTCCATCCTTGTTCAAATTCTTCAATAGTTTGTGAATCATAAACCAGATTGTGTAAAGCTGAAAATATCATGCCCTTGTCAACGTGACAGCCAAACTTCTCCGGCAACTTCTTCAAAATGTGCCACAAACACCATCTTTGTGTTGTAGATGGGAAAATGATCCCAATAGCATTCTGCATGGCCCGATCTTGATCAGTAATTATTGCATTCGGAGATTGTCCATGCATGCACTCAAGCCATGTCTTGAATAACCACACAAATGTATCAGTGTCCTCGTTAGCTAACAAACCACAACCAAACAACGTTGACTGTCCATGATGATTCACTCCGACAAAAGGGGCGAACGACATGTCGTACTTGTTAGTTAGGTACGTGGTATCAAAGGTGACAACATCGCCGAATTCTTTGTATGCTTACCTGCACGTATTATCTGCCCAGAAGACATTCTTTAGTCGACCCTTGTCATCTAAATCAATACTGAAGTAAAATCCGGAGCATCGGGCCTGCATTTTCGAAAAGTAGGACTGTATTACAGCGACATCTCCCTCTTCAAGTCGTAATCATTTTACTTGTTCAATGTAGTTTCTACAATCCTTCTCGATACATGTCATTTTCTCATAAACACCAGCTTCTGCAACTGCAGAGTCGTAACTTTTATATAATGGAATTCCTGCAATGTCATTTACCTCAAGTTTACATTTCACATTTGCACTCAACTCTCTATTACATCGATACAACCTAGATTTGGAAGGACTAGTCTCATGGTTGTGATCGAGGTGAAATGTATTAATTCTCCACATTCCTCGACTATCTGAAGAAGCTGAGATCCGTGCTTTACAGTCTGTCTGGCTGATTGGTTTAGGCTTCGTAGAATCACTCGCATTACTACTTCTTCTGCCTTCGCGACTACATGTGAATGTCACGTATCTTAGAACACCATCATCCCCTTTTTTTGAGTTTCGTTTTCTGACGGGAAAACTTGTATGATAAGCATACCGCTTGTACAAGTCGAACATTTCATTTTCGTTGTCGAACATCATCCCCACCTCAGGCACAACCGGATCATCTTGTCCTAATGTTTCTTCTTCACCGCTGTCCATGTTACCCACGACATTCTCGTAATCGGACTCCTCCAAAAGTTCATCATTCAAGTCTTCCATAATTTGTGATGCTGCAAAAAAAAAAAAAGCACTAATTTTTATCAAAACATAAATCATTTTCATTGCATCATGAAATAATACAAAAATAATAAGACTCTTCCCTCCCTCCCAATGGTACAGTGTCCCCAAAATAACGTTCCTCTTCACTAGTCACTCCCTTTCCCTCTCTCTAAATTAACTACTCTATATCCTGCTTTCACCTTAGGTTCTGCAGATATCAGTTTACAAGAAAAAATTTCATATGTCAATTTTTCAAGCTATTCATATAATACTCAGCTTCGATGAAGTTGGCAGTAACAGACTGGGAAAACATTATTTTAAGATTTGTGAAAGATGAGGTTTAAGAGCACATCAACGACCCACAACGTCTCATTCACATTGCACTACCGCAGCAAAATCTCATGTTGCAGTGGTAAGCTTACGAATTCGGCGTTTATTTTCTTCTTCAAAAATCCTTCAAATTTCAAATCCCAAAATCTTGCATATCGCCACATAATAAAAAGCATATGGAAATTAATAAAGAAAATGAACAGAGTACTCCACCTGGTTCACAAGATTCCGCGAAAACCAACAATCTCGCAGGCATACAATGTATAGTGAATACCAACAATGTCGCCGGCACACAATGTCGCAGGTTCACAAGACTCCGCAAAAACCACTGGGCAATCGATACGTTAGACGGAGGTCACTCTCTTCCACCTCCGGTAGAGTTATGACTACCATTTCTTGTCCATTCAGGTTGTGCCTGGTGGTGCAGCGCTGCACGCCGACTTTGGGAGCTCACGAACGAAGAAGAATACAAGTGCTCAGTGTTTATTAGCACGAGCAATGGCGGGGATGTCGATTGTCAGAGACCAGCAACGACTTGGGAGAGCACGCCGGCTTTAGCGTCGACTGTGAGAGAGAAATGGTGGGTAGGATCCGACTGTGAGAGAGAAATGGTGGGTACGATCCGACTGTGAGAGAGAGAGAGTTGGGGAGAACTCAATTTGGGGAAAAAGGGAAATCGGCGTGCCGGTATGGATTGTTTGTCTAATTCTCCCTCCATTTTTCTTTTATCATTTATTTTTGGAGGATAGAATGCTTGGCCACATCATTTTTTGAATTTTCCCTGTAAAGTCCCTGTGAACCCAGCGTCTACTCCAAGCTTAATTCTTGATTCTAATATTTTGGTCTTGTCAGACTATTTTAATAAAATAACTTTGTAAAACAGCTATCTCACCTAATTCCCAATTATTTATAATGTTGGTGTCATGACAGATTTGTTTTTACACCTTTTTCCGTCTCTTCTCTCTCGTGTTTTTTTTCCTAATTAGAAATATGTATTTACCCTACATACCCATAGTTAAATATGGTTAAATAAGACACGTACTCTTATTCTAAGGGCATTTTGGAGAGTAACATTTTTTTGGGTGCTTGTTAATGAAAATGCAAGAACAGCGATAGACAGAAAATGATATAAAGTCGCCGCAGAAGGACCAATATCAATATGAAATCTGAAAGATTAGGTAGACCCTATAATCAATTGCGCAAAAACAAGTTCGGAGTTTGAAATAAACGCACGGACAAACGCACATCTGTATGTAAACCCCTAGAAGGTAGTATTTTCCTCTTGTATGTATTTTCCACTTGTATGTAAGCAATACTTGAAAATTCTCCGTCTTCTTCTTCTTTGAGCTAAGAAAAAATATTGAATTTTTTGTACGCACACTGAATCAGTCGGAGGCAGTAATAGTTGTGTACTGATTTTGATTTTATTTATTTATTTATTTTTTTAGTGTAAAATGGGAAAATTAATTGCGGTTCTGTTTTTAATGTTACTGTTGCTGTTTATGTTTCCTTTGTTCTTCCATGTACATGATTCTTTTTCGTTGTCGAGAAGCTTCTTAAGCCTCAAAGATAAATTCGTGAACAGTAGAAGACGTATCTTGTTCCAGCCCGTCAATTTTCTTTCTAACAGGTACGATTGTGTTTGTCTTTTTTATACTTTTGTATATTGCCTAAAAGTTCTCCCTTTTTTGGCATGTATTGATGTAAGATTGAACTTATATAGCCCATTTACAGCATATTGATAATTGACCATTTCCAGAATAACCTTGTAATGTTTAAACCAAATAAATAAACTAAACTAATAGACGTAGTTATTGCAGTGAGAATCAACCTTGTCTTCATATAATATTTTCATATAATTGGGATGACGAGTGGAGTCGGACAAGAAATGAATGCACTTTTGCAGCTGGATATTCCAAGTTTGTTGGGTCTAGATATGAATATGGCAATGATGAAGTTTCTTGTATTCAACTTTTGTTAGTTAATAGTAATATGTCATGGCAATATGTATAATTTTAGCTAGTTATCAAATTACTCCTATTTAATGAAGTTATAAAGTTGTTCTGGTTTTGCCATGTTAAGAAGCTTTGTTCTACATGGTTCTGAAACAAATATAAGCTAGTTTCTGAGCCAATGGACGTTCCATCTAGCACGCATATAGTTTTAAGCTAGAATCGCTAACTTGTACACTAGGACAAGTTTTGCAGTGGTATCACAGTGTTTATTATGTGCATGTTAACTTTTAGTATTTTTACGTTAACAATAACATATGCTAACTCAAAAACTTGCACGTGCCCATCAAATCATTTCTTCTTTTCTTTTTCCTCTTACTGTCTCTCCTTTTTACAGATAATTATTTCTAACTGTTGTGCAGTGAGGTACGGGGTATAAAAGTAGACACTGCTGCTTTTCTGAAAATGAAGAATGATATTATCCCTTGGTCACCATTGATTGAGGAGTTCACTTTTGTTGCTAATTCAGCCCCCTTCAACAGCTGTCATGCTTCTACTATCGTGGAGGTGCTCCATTGCGACTTAATGTCCAATTACTCTTCAATGCTCAATAAAATTGAGTGAGATTGTAACTCAGTTTAGTGCTTTCTGTAGCTTGATAAAAATCACTTTTTGGCTGCCTATTTTGGGGGTACAGCAGAGGGGGCACTTGACGTGAAGATTTGGATACAGACTTATAAGGTGACAATATATT